TTGTATATACTTTGATGAAATTTTGTGTGTGTGTCCAGATTCAGAAATCACCCGTGCGTATCCGGGGTGTATCGCTAGTGAACAATAAAACACCTAATATAACTGTTCTCGCTACATCATGTTCCGCTATCTATGCTCTATAACTTTTTATACTTCTAATTAGTCGAGAAATATATTAAGTACCTGTTTTACATTGAAGTAATATGTGTACTTACGTACTAGAACAGCTATCTCAAACAGAAAATATGCGCTACTCTGTGTTCGCGCGGTTGTTTTTTTATCATAGAATAAATATAGGTAGAATGATCAGTAGGTAATAGTAGATTGTATTGTCCTGTTCGCCAAGCGAGCGCGCGACATGTTATACTCCCGTTCACTCGGGACCTTAATGGCGGGAAAATTTGTAAGTTAGAAAAATTTTTGCTATATTGCAAATTTTGCTATATTTTCACTTTGAGACAATATTTATGGATAAAACTTACAGGAATTCTTGTTGAATGTATAAACTATCAAATTAAATTATTTTTGGTTGCTAGAAATTGTAATAAAATACGTAAATTACCCTGTATAGCATAGTAGTAGTATATACTTCAATTTTAGTGACAAAATTATTAATTTGAATTCTACACTTTTGTTTTTGGAGAAATTTATATGAAAATGTTTGGAATATGTATATTTTTATGTTTTATGTGTTTCCATTCGTTACTCATACCAAAATATTAAAATATTAAAAAATTAAAAAAAAATAATAATAATATTTTATCTGTATGACATTTCGAACAATATTTCAAACATATTTTTGTGTGAATTTGAAATAAATACAACGTCAAGTTATTTGAAATATGTAAGAAAACTATTTTTACTTACATTTTACACTAAAAATAAATGAGAATTTGAAAAATAACACATTTATGACCCAACCGCCAAAATGGAGCTTCCGGATTTTGAAGTACTTTTGGCAATTTACTTTTCACTTTTTATACCACAAATTATATATCTACGTGTTTACTATATTACAAGGAATATAAAAAAGTATAACACTTTCGTTTTTAGTCCAGACACAAATATAAAATTCTATAAAAAAGACGGAGCACCTTCATCAAAACGACACGTGGAACGCCGAAAGTTCAGAGTGATTTCTTTTCTTTTTTTTTTCTAAGAAACATTGCCAGGTTATGGTTTAAAATAAAAGAGCATATCTTTGTCTTTGATACTATTATCTATTGCATAGTGTTTTTGGTTTTGTTAAAAACGAAAAAATAGTTTTTTCATAGGTACGTTTACATAATTCTGATCTAATTAGCGTACTACTTGGCGGACGGAAGGATGGTATTGTACGATCTAAAGTGCGCATGGCTTGGTTAATAGGTAAATTATATCGAGAACAATATTTAAATTTTGTCATTTATTTTGTATATTATATTTGCTTATTTAATATAATATTACATAATATTATATCACAATTACATTTTAATGATATTTTTATCAGAATATTTTAAAAGGTATCTATGTCATATATAAAAAACATACTAAATATATGTTTATCAAAACTTATTAACATAACATTTAAATTACAAATATATTTATTTAAATTAGAATAAGAGTCGTTCATAAATGCTGGGCACGCGAAAGTTAAAAATAGACGAATTTATTCCACCTTGACTTTAATTTGGAAACCTAAAAATAAAATAAAAGAATAATAAGCAGATTTAAACATTAAAAATTTAGCCTAATTGTAATAACTTATATATGTTTCTACAAAAAATGTGTATAATAATATATTCGTCCTATACTTAAGTACCCACAGAAATGTCGCATCTGAACATATTAATTTTATTATCTATATTCCATGACACGAGATGGCGTCTTAGAAATAATTTGTTTTATTATTAATCTATAATACTTTTTATTGATTAAGTATCTTATTAACCAATGAAAAGTAATTCCTTGGTTTTTACTGACATTTCTTGAATTATTTGTGCAATATCTAAGTACACACGGCGGCATATTTTTATCAAGAGATTTTTTTAAAATCAACACAACACGTGACAGCTCTACAAGCGCCTAGCGAGTGACTGATTAAAGTGCGGTGTATACACCGCAGTTGAGTGGAACTGAGTAGCTGAATGCAGTGTCGCCTCTAGTACGTAGTACATAATAGCTCAATGCTGTTTTATAATTTTTTGCGTATGTGCATCATTATTTTTTAAGCTTTATTGCATCCCCTTAGAAAAAAAAGGATACAAAGGGGGGACTTAATGCCGAAAGGCATTCTCTACCAGTCAACCCATGAAGTGGTGAGAGTTTGTATCACTATTGTGTACTATGTGATTATGTACAATTACTATTGTGTGCTAAGTAAATAAGTGTTCAAACATAGACTTTTTTACTTAAAAGAAGATTCCATAATTGTACCGTACAAATTTATATGGTAAGTAAATATCTAAGCAACTCCGCAAATGAAAAAAAAAATCGTGAAACCCACTACAACGCAATTAAACTGCAATCAAAGCTAACCCGGGCGGGCGCAACGTCGTTTTAAAATTTAATTACTGACTCGGCTTCTGACGGGACTACACATAAAGCTTATTAGGTTACTACACTACATTACATTCACATTTTTTCTTTTTTGTACGTGGTAGAATGTGTCGGCTCGACCGGGGCAGGACCACGCTCTCACTGAATACCAGCGTAAAATAGCAGCTTAATACTGCTGTGTTTCGTACGGTGAGTGTAGAGATCCGGAGACCCTTTTTTACTGGAAACGAGGCATTCCATATTAGTCCTCAGGGGTGACAACGCATCTGCGTTTTGATTCTTAATCGAGGATAAATGTAGATTTCTATGGGTCACAGCATCCACTTACTATCGGGTGGACTGTGTGCTCGTTTATTACGTTTATTCTATAAAAAGCGTAAAAAAAACGGGCATACAATACACCCGCTGATTGATTGCTGTTGTCCATAGAAACCTGCAACCATTTTTACTTTAAGTAAGATCACATATAGCACATACTTTCTTATATCTATGAACACATACATTGTCTCTCAGGATATAACTGACTGAGACTGATATGCATTTCTATTATATTTAATTTTCTCAGACATCCATTATCATCGCCAAGAATTGGTAAAACGGCAATTAAAATTGTAATAACTTTATTGGTGCGGCGGGAATCGAACCCGGGTTGCTCGCGTACAGTGAAATTTACAAGTTGAGACGTGGTAGACCATGTTGCACCTATATCATGGTTGTAACACAAATGGGTCGACTCAACCGGGGAAATATCACACTCTCAGAATACCTACGTAAAATAGCAGCTTAATGCTACTGTGTCTCCTATGGTGAGTGTAGAGATCTGGAAACCGTTTTTGCTGGAAACGAGGCATTCCATCTTTGTACATTTCCATTTTGATTCTTAACGGAGGATAGATGTAGGATTTCAATGGAGCACAGCATCCACCTACCAGAATGCGTATCCCTTAAACTATTACGCTTGTAAATACATCACGTAAATAATTATATAATTAAGAAATTATGATATTTTTTATTTCTTGCTTCTTTTTTATCAAGGGGCGAGTGACATAATGATACAATTTATACGACTAAAAATAGACAAGGAGTTATTCCATCTTAGTCCCCAGGGGTGACGACGCATCTGCATTTTGATTCTTAATCGAGGATAAATGTAGATGTCTATGGGCCACAGCATCCATTTACCATAAGGTGGACTGTGTGCTCGTTTGTCACCCTTTTTCTATAAAAAAAACTTAAATTGCATGACAGTTACATCCTTTATACCTTATGATATTCATAAACCAGATAGTTTTGTAGCAATTTCTGGTTGCAAATAGTTTTTTTATAGAATAAGGGTACATACACATATATTCTGCACAGGCGTTTGTCAATGAACTACTCCTAAACTCCCTGACCGATTTTGATGGTTTTTTGTGTGTGTTTGAGTACATACATATACATATACATACATATACAACAGGGTGGTTTAGATTCACAATTGGACCCGGTAGATGGCGCTGTTATCGAGATCCAGAAATAACCCATGCGAAGCTGGGGTGAATCGCTAATAATTAAATAATACTTTCAGAACCATTCGAACACACACACAAAGAATTTTACCAAAATCGGTTGGATGGTTTCAAAGTATATAACGGACATAAGTAAAAACATTTTTGTGTTTTATATAGATAGATTGTAATTAGGTGTTTTTGTAAAATTGACGATTTTTGTTTAATCAAATTAGTTTAGTTTTAAACCTACTTCAAAAAGTGAGAGGTTCTTAATTAGAATGTATGTTTTCTTATTGATTCAAAATCACAAGCTTTCGAATTAGGCCTAAAAGTAAGAGTCTGGCTATCGTACTAGTCTCGTTTCCTTATCAATAATAGCAGTTAACATTTGACGTTTCTTAGACTCTAACTCAGATCTATAAAACAAACGCTTCGTAGAAAATAACTCCTTCAAGAGTTATTTTCTAACTATCTTCTTTAAATCCCTAATGCCAGCCGTGTTTACATTTTTTTTTCTCGACTGTATTATCTAAATAGTAATTTTAACAACCAGTAACTAAATAGTAATTTACCAAATACGTTAACATATGGTGAAATATTCTGAGGTATAATTTCCTATTCCAATAACACCCAACAAAACAACGTAGATATTGTATAATATATTATATAGCGACTGTTGACATTTAATGTATTGAGATTAAAGATTATTAAATATTTCGAGAAGCAGAGTCTCTGGGCCTGCGCCAGTTCTTTGTACTTGTTACGAGCAAAGGAAAAATATAACAACTTTCTACAGGAAAACAAACGCTCACTGACATCGTAATTTACTGTTAATTGTTAAAACGAAAATGAATAGCAACAATAAATATTTACTAACACAAAAACTTTCCAAGGAATTATAATTTATAACTCATTTTATAACGAAATACGTATTTGTGACAAACTACATAATATGAATAAATTATTACTCACGTCTATCAAACAAAGGCGCGTCTTCATTTTTACTGAACACTGAATATTTTTATAACACAACAATATTAGATTCTTATAAAAATTTATTGCAAAACGCAACGCATCTTGAAAAATGCATTTGCAACTTTCAAAGTCTATCGGAATCTAATAAATGCATTCTCGCGCCATCGCCACTGGACTGATGGTATCCACATTTTTCACTTTTGTAACAAAAAAACTCGCACTAACACATAGCCGTAATTACGACGATATATTTCTTTTCGGCGTTTTTCCGCACTATAGACACACAATGCAAGTCTTGTTCAGATCAACTCCGAGTTGGCACTTGGCAACTACAGTACACTATACAAAAGCAAATTGAATGAAATGAATAGTTTAGTTTACCACCACTGAATGCGTGCGTAGTGCTGCCAGTTTTAAGTTTTACCCATTTTTTTGAAGACTTGATAATTTGGAAATGAATTATTTTTTTAATGAAATGTTAACGATTCATCAACTGGGTTTCGGTAAAATATACAAACGTTAGTTTTTAAATCACTTCACTACACTTCACTTGTTAATTGTAGGAATTAAAATGTCTTAATTATATCTAATGGCGCATAATTCACATATAATTTCAAACCTGAATCCCATATCCAATCTAACAACACACATCCAAAATTTCAAATGGCAACATAATTATAAGCTCGTACATGTGCATGTTTTGGCTTTTCATTTATCAACTACATATAGCCTACCTATATTGGTGAGCACAGATAAACTTGCTGGGTGTCTTGACAAATTTACAACTACAGAATCAATGTAATGGTAGCACTACTGTTTCTGATTGGGTTTCAGAACAGGGAAGAATCCAACGCACTATTCCAATGGGTGTTGGCGTATTTCAAATATCGATGTATAAAAATATAAGTATAAAATCAAATATATATTTCTTAGACATACAAGTGCGTCCCCCCCGAACGGGTTCCCGCCTTGTCGTGGCGGGGGGGCTTAGTAGCCGTGGATTGGTCTCCCACGGTGAACAAAGAGGAACCCACGTGGCTGGCCCGAGGTGAAGGGCCGGCCTGAGGTGGCCGCTCCGAGTGGGCTTGGGGAGTCCACTTAGGATGTGTGCTGGTGGACTGCAGCGAGTGGGGACTCGCGCACCCTCTACCGCTGCAGCCGAGGTGGAGTCGCGGATGAAGAGGAGTGTTGGTATGGCGATGCGCCACTCGCCCTATCCTTCGCGACTCAAACGGGGCCGCACCGTTGATGCGGTGGTGGTGGGGCTGCGGGGGGAGAGGATTGTCGGTATTGCGAGGCGCCGCTCTCCCTACCCTCCGCAGCCGAATCTTGGTTGGCGGCGGAGCCATAGACCAGATCCGCCGCTGGGGTCGGGAAGGCTAGTACTTCTAAGTGCTCGTTTTTCCTGGCCCCATGGCCTTTGTGCATCGGACGCGGGGGCGTCTGTTGCACAGACGTAGTTGGAGGCCGTGGAGGAAGGCGCGCCATGTGTTCTGGTGCGCCTTACCTGGGAAGGAGAACGGGGAGGAATTTTCCTCTCCCGAGGAGGTGCTGCCATGGGGCGGCAGGCGCTAGTAGGGCCGCGGATGTGTGCGAAAGCGTTCCCGTAGCCCTGCCAATATGCGACAAAGGTGGAACACCATGGGGTTTTAGTCGGTGCGAGTCCGACATAACCCGTCCTTGCCCCCGCGAGGCGGGTATGCGTAGGCATTTCCGCATGCAAAAAAAAAAAAAAAAAAAAAGACATACAAGTGCGTTCAAACAATATTTCCTTTAACCATTGTACTGTATCAGTTAATCAGTATTTAAAACTACACTTAAAATTTCATTGCTGCAGAAATGTATCAAACTCACGATATTCGTGTAAGAAATATAACACATACGCTTATCCCGTAAACTTCTACGACTATTGTATGTACTTTTGTCTACGACTAATTCCTATAATATCAGTTACATAAATTATAAGCTTAACATTATTAATAATACAACACGTAATTACTTGGTTATAAGTTAGGAAATGATACGTAATCAACAATGGTTCTTCATTCTTTTTATTAATTATTGATTCATTAAAATCGAAATGAGTTACGTATTTTAGTGTGATTAAAACAAAAAATAACAGATTCTTTTAATAATATAATATAATGTCTCACTAATATAATCTATCGATAAGACTATCCTTTCATTTTGAAAAAAAAAATGGTTTAATAAGCCGTTGGAAATTCGATTACAATACATGGTAACCCTCTGCGTACGATACAAAACATACGTATAGACCCGTAGTATAGAAGCCAAGCCAGCGTGACAGCTTACAGTATGTTAAAAAGAGATAGACTTATGCTTATCACAAAAACACGTGCCAAGTCTGCAATTAGTCCGACAGAGATGGATAGTTTCTCTAGTTCAGATTTAATATCCGGTATTACCGTTTAAGAATTTGTATATTTTGTGTATTGAGGTGTAGTGAAGAACTGATAACGTATGGTAGGTACTGGTCAGCAAAGTTGACCTCTTTAGATATCTATTTGAAAATTGTAGTCTTTCGGTGCAAAATATTAGATTAAAATTGTTTATTATTGAATTTTAAAATATGAAATATGGGAAAGAGACTTCATTTTGCTACTGAGATCCTAAAAAAATGTTTCTGTTTGCGTAAACTATGATATTCGAAAAAAAAATAGTGTTTATGTCAAAAGCAAAACAGAAAATTTCAAGTTACCTATTGTTTGTTGAAGTCTCAGACTTACAAAGTAGCCGGACAATTCAAGTGACGCCGAAATCGTCCTCAATTTCTTGTCATGCACATTTGTTAATTCTTTCTTTCTTTTTTTTACGTGGTAGAGTCAAGAGTCGAATGGATCGGCTCGACCGGGGTAGGACCACACTCTCACAGAATACCAGCGTAAAATAGCAGCTTAATGCTGCTGTGTTTCGTATGGTGAGCGTAGAGAACCGGAGACCGTTTTTACTGGAAACGAAGTATTCCATCTCAGTCTTCACGGGTAGAAACCAGGCATCTGCATTTTGATTCTTAATTGAAGATAAATGTAGATGTCTATGGGCCACAGCATCCACTTACCATCAGGTGGACTGTGTGCTCGTTTGTCACCCTTATTCTATAAAAAAAACACCGTTAAATCCACTGTTGTATGAACACATGCATCTAATTCTAAACTATATTATTGATTGCAAATAATTTTAGATGCATGTCACTTGTGTGTGTTCTCATTATAAGTTGAGCATGGTTTTGGCTTGGTCAGTTTTTTGACCCTTTTGAGTGGATTAAGGAAAATTATAAGCTAGGCAATAACTAAAAAAGGTAGCAACTACGAGAATGACTTAATCTCCTACTTTTCTACCTTAGTAGTGGAATTTTTTCTCCAAATCAATATACCCCTGAATCATAACCTATTTATTCACTGGCGGATTAACACAATTGCCCCCAGTACGCTATTAAAATTTTGACGCCCCTACGAACTTCTACAAGGCGATACCCTTGTTCACAATTATATTAATTACATTTTTTATAGAATAGGGGTGACAAACGAGCACAAAGTCCATCTGATGGTAAGTGGATGCTGTGACCCACAGACATCTACATTTATCCTCGATTAAGAATCAAAACGCAGATGCGTTGTCACCCATGAGGACCAAGATGGAATGCCTAGTTTCAAGTAAAAAAGGGTGTCCGGATCTTTACACTCACCATACGAAACACAGCAGTATTAAGCTGCTATTTTACGCTGGTATTCTGTGAGAGCGTGGTCCTTCCCCGGTCGAGCCGATCAATTCGTGCTGCAACCATAATATAGCTGCAGCGTGGCGCTACTACGTATAAAAATGTTTTTATCAATGAAATTGTAAGTTTATGATTTGTGCACTATAGTCCTTCTCACACCGCCTTTTTGCCTTAATTATTATGATTGTGAATAGGGATCGATGTGTCATTTCCTAGATTATTTTATAGCTCACAGATTTAGTTAAGTTGCACAATAAATATTTTCTGGGTATATTTCTGAGCTAATAAAAGCTTAATCATATATTGCTAACAAGGCGGGGTAAGGTATGATTTAGTACTACTTATCTACATTCGGTAGATAAACGTAATTAAATATTTTTATTGCGCTTACTGTTTAAAAACAATATATTTAATTATCTAGTAACAATCTGGCTGCTAATAATGATGAAATTCAAGAACTTAAGCAATGAAAGTTTTGGCATTTCCATTTTGCGCGATTTTTATTCAGAAAATCATCATCATCATCATCAATCATCATCCTCGTATTAAATCTTGCTCATTAGCTGACTCTACAATCTCACTAAATCTCTATAATCGCACAAAAGCGCTAAGGCGTTTAGCTTTTTTTGGTTTATAGTAGACCTTGATAATTTTTCATCCATTTTAAACAAGAAAAACTCCTCTCACCCGAACAATTTTTCGCAGGTATACAAAAACCATGCAAACTACTGTGTCAAAGTTTGAATAAAAATTTTTGAAAAATTGGTTTTGCAAATTCTGTTATCGCAGGAACGAAGATTGACTTTTCAATAATCTAGAATCAGGTTTCACTAAAATTCTTTCAGAAGAAAGGTGTATGTATTCTTAAACTAAATCCGTCTCAAATTCATAAGAATACATTTCTTCCAAGAAAAAGACTATTTTCGTAAAACTTGATGATAGCAATTCAGTCATTTTGCTAAAGAGTGAAATTTTCATTGAATCTGTACAAGGCCTGCCGCTTTTCTAATACGGATACGAGTCTGTCAATGAGAAAGATAAACATGTCAATCCTGAAAATATCACTCGTTGTTCTCATTTCTTCATCGGAAGTTTGATTTTTTTTCCTATTTGGTTGTCTTTTCCCTATATCTTTTGTATACTGATTCGACACACTTACTTTCAGTGCCGTTTCTTCGAAATACTTAAAATTTTGGGGGGGTTTGGGGGGGAAAATTTTTTTTTTATTTTTTATTTTTTTTAACGAGAAAAGGCGGGTTTTTTTTTTTTTTTTTTTTTAGGGAAG